AACATGTAGCGTTCACTAAACGTCGTTTAGCGATATCAAACCGATACATAGTGTGCTATCCTGTGAACTGAGGTGGTTTGTCCTAGTCACTGAACTTCAGCGCCACTTTCATTCGAGATGCAATAATTCAAATGTTCTGTTTGCAATCAACGGTCTTCGGTCTGATCGAATCGGTAACCGAGGTTCAGTGTATTATACCTCGATTGGATGTTCGGCCTTGTGTATCATATGTACAAGTTATGGACTCGTCAATGACGAGTCATCATTGTCTGCCCCGAAAAACTGACATTCGCCCTCCATTTTCACCCAAAACTCTGTAAAATCACCAAGCCATGGCGTGCGCTCTGGTGCCCTCAATTTCCTCCTAGGGCCCTGGCAATTCCCTCCCTGCCCTCGAAGTTCCAGATCGCCCTTTAAATTCCGCCACTCGGGCGAGCGATTTACGGTGCCCTGTAAACCACGCTTCTGCCCTGGAAAAACGTAATCACCCTCGTGAAGTTGCCTTCCTTAATCATGAAATTGATGTCTTTATTCGCGAAATTGATTTCCCTATTCAACCTTCATCGCTAAATTGATGTCCCTGTCCGCGAAGGTGACTTCCTTATCAGCTGAATTGATAGCCTAATCCGCCAAAAAGATTTCTGAAAGGTATAGTAACTGGTCACAGAAGTATTATGCGTTGTTATATGAACTGCGAATTGGCATTCTGTACCTTATAGATGATAATAATACAGGTCGTGGTAGCAGATTCGTGAATTTTGGCCGATTTATGGTAATGACTTTTAGACTTATTTGCCTTCACTCAGTGCGTTCGGCGCCTCTTTCTTCTCGTTACCGTAACGGTAATACCGTTCTACGATATGAAGGAATTCCATCGCATTCTCTCACTGTTTGTTGACTTCCTTCAAACTTCTTTGCAGAGCCCCTCCTCGTCCGCTACCACTCGTCCAGGTATCCTATTGTTAGTACTCTCTCACTCAAAGTCGTCATCATAAGGGGTTTTAACACAGATGTAAGCAATTCCGACATCTTGGACTCTCTTGCGTCCTCACAATGTCTCAGCTATTGCATGACATGCACAACAATTCATCATTACATGTGATTACAACATCATCTTCCTCCCCCTGCGGGTGCGGCCAGTTCTAGAGCGGGTACCATCGATGGCTCTTAGGAACTGCTGCTCCCGATCTCTTACATCATCTTCTGCATCTTCGTCAATAGACTCATTACGTGTTGTGTTGAGCCTACTCAAATCTTGGGTGTCTTCTATACCTTTCCGTCTGGTTAGATCATCGTCGGCGTTCATATTCTCGAGGTCGTCGTTTCCTAGATCGTCTTCGTTCTCGTTGTCGCTCTTTACACTTGTGTCGTTTGTGTGATGGACTACTGGCATCTTAGCTTCGCCGTAGCGCTTTGGAGCATCGCTAGACTCGTCAATCGGTGCTAGTCTGAAGCACTGCTTACCAACCTTCTCAATCACTTGATAAGTCTTCTCGTTTGTCAAAGGACTGAGCTTCTTCTTACGTGGCTTCAGCCATAGGACTCTATCTCCGACTTGCAACCTCTTCTTCTTCAGCCCTTTGTTTTTTCGACCCTCCATATGCTTAAAGGACTGCTGTCGACGTTCTAACCAAGCTTCTTGGAAGATCGACAAGAGTCCTCTTCGGTTCTCGGCCCGATGTTTAGCCTCTTCAACTACCTGTGTCGTATGAAGGGGGTCTTCTACGATGCTCTTCGGTCTGAGGTCTTCCCAGTCAGTACGCACATCGGTGACTTTAAGCAACTTCTGCACTGGTAACATCGGCTCCCACCCATAAATCAAAGTGTGAGGGCATGGCCGTGTCCCTCCACTGTCGGTGGAATTGATGG